TATTGATTGATTCTTTTATTTATGAATATATTTATGTGTTTGTGTATCGATTGATTCTTTTCAGTCGAAGCTGGGCCACACACACAGCTTGTCGGTCTGTTGCAGACAGAGTTGGGGCTCACCCTGACCCCCCAGTAGTCACAGACCAGAGATTTTACTTTAAACATGCTGCTCTGAAGTTTCCACTAACGATTAAGTTATCACTATCACCTACTTTTCCAGTTGTTCCACTCGAAGCACTGGTCGGGTCAGGTGCTGCATTTATTTTCCAGTATGGTCGCAGTTGTCCTGTAGACCCCCCCCCCCACCACTGTTCTCACACCCGATACCTTTCAGTGGACGTCTATTGTTGATGATGCAAGCAGCAGGTTTTTACCCACTGATGCTAATGACCCCCCCCCCCCCCCCCCCTACACTGTGGTCCAGTGGTGTGATGGCCCCGCCCTTGACTCGTCTCTTGTGCTCTTTACAGGCTGTCGGCCATAAATGAGGAAAAGCTCCGGACGTGTTCGGGTCGGTTCTGCCCTGGCTGGAGACCCTTGAGAACTTCCCAGGAGGGTCGTCTCGTTTGAGCTGCTGCTTGTCGCTCAGACTGATCTGGCTTCTTTTTACAGTGAATGCCCACGTTGTTTCTATATTTCTCAAAGGAGTTGTTTTTATACTGGTAACGTTGGGAGGAGGACGTTTGGTAAAGACCAGTCAGCTGCTGTGCTGGATTCATGCCCGTCATGAGCGTACCAGCGCCGCAGAAAGCCAGCGCCAAAAGAACGGGCAAGAGGATCACGTTTTTTAACGACCAAGGTGGAGATTCCATGAAAGAGACGGCTCAGCACCCTGAAGGGGCGTACTACACCACCAGTGGCACGGCCTCCGACCCTGGACAGAGCGAGGCGGCCAGCACGGTGACCTCTGACCCAGAGGGCTCTCATCTGTACCTGAACTCTGTCATCTTCAGCCCAGAGAAGGGAGACCAGAGCCGGGGTCACTATCAGCAAACTGTACCCATGAAGTGGGCCCACCAGGAGCCCAGCCAGCAGCAGCAGCAGAGAGCTGCCTCTTGGACCATGCCCAACTGGGGGCCAAACTTCACAGATTACTCACGGACCCAGAACACGTTTGTGAAATCGATGCACGAGACGTCGAGCCTGCAGCCGCATCAAGCCTCGAGCAGAGCTGTGGACAAGGTGGCCGTGGACGCTTACAGGGAAGCAGCCAAGTCTCGGGCCCTGGAGTGGGAGCAGCAGGCCCAGGTCTTCCAGGAGACCCTGAAGCCTGGGGTCCTGAACCCTCAGCAGCAGAGTGCACCTCACCCTGCAGGGAGCTCCGTCCTGCAGCCCTTCCAGCTGGCCTTTGGTCAGCCCAAGCAGCACCTGCCGGCGTACTACCAGACCTTCCAGGGGAGCAGGAGCACGCTGCCCAACCCGCCCAACTACCCCGCAGCTAATGCTAAACCCTCCCATCACCTGCAGCCGCTGCAGAACCCGGAACAAATCCAGCGTCAGCAGCACCCTGTGATCCAGCAGCAGGTTCAGCACCATCAGATCATTCAGCAACAATTGCACCACGAGCAGCAGCAGCAACAAAAGATGCAGCAACAGCTGCAGCTTCAGCAGCAAATGCAACATCAGCAGTTGCAACAAAACCCTCACGTGCTGGACTTTTACTCTGCTGCTCACAACGCACAGCCGGTGGTGGTGCACTCTCAGGAGTCCTCTGCTCCCGTTCCCCCAACCATCCAGGAACCCATGATCCAGGACATCACACCAGAACCCCAGCAGTCCTCCGAGTCTCTGCTGGCTCAGACGCAGCTTCGCAGGTCCAGACGGCTCTCCAAGGAAGGTGGGGCACCTTCGGAAAACCCTTTTCTCCCCGCGCCGTCAGACTGTCCTGGGCTACAAGGCTCCGAGAACGGGGCCTGCGACGTCCAGGCAGCACCCACAGGCGTCATTCAGAGCACCCAAAGGAAACGCCGTGTGTCCCAGGAGGTCAACCTGGAGCTGCTCGCTCAGGAGGCGTCCGAACGGAAGTCTCCATCACACGACAAGGTAATTAAACGATTCCAGCTGCTGCACAGTACGAAATGAAATATTCAGTTCACTTATAAAGCTCCAAGTCACGAGAGAGGTCGTCTCAGGGCTGAACAGAAATATTCATAAATAAAATTAATGATTAAACAGAAACATTCATAAATAAAAATAATGATTAAAAAGGAACATTCATAAATAAAAAATAATGATTAAACAGAAACATTCATAAATAAAAATAATGATTAAACAGGAACATTCATAAATAAAAATAATGATTAAACAGAAACATTCATAAATAAAAATAATGATTAAACAGAAACATTCATAAATAAAAATAATGATTAAA